AACTAAAACAATATTAACCATATCTTATAATTATCATGACATCTTCATACAATTTTTTCTTGACTATTATACAGGATTTCTAGTTTGTTGTCAACTCTATTATAAATAATTATTTTTTATAAATTTTAAAATTGCGTTATAATTTTTTAATTTAACAGAAATTTATAAATTACAATTTCCTTATTTATTAGATTCCTACCTTTGATTTTGGATACAGTTGTTGCATCTCTTACTTAAATCAAGATTCATTTGTTTCATCTTTCATTTTCGTTTTAAACTGAAAATGTTTTTTAAAAATATCTTTTTCATTTCATCTTTGCAAAACAAATCGCCAAATTTAGATAAAAGCTTCACTTTTATTTATGTTTAAAAAGTAATGTAAATAGAAATTAATATACTCAATTACGAACGAACCCGACTGCTCCGGTGCTTATTCGCGACACGCTTTTAAGTTTGACATAGTATATAAGTTAATAGTTAGAGTAACACTGCTCACTAAATATATTTTTATAGAAGTTAATTTAGTTTAGTATAAACGTTAGTTGTCAGTACATCGAAGGATATGCAGATAGAGAATCAGAGGGCAGTGATAACAATATGTCTAGAGTTTCTTGTTGATAAAGAGCGTTTTCTCTTAAGGAAAAAAGAGAACAGATAGAAGAAGGATTTTTTTTAACGATGATACCTTCTCTATCACCGTTAGTGTAGGAAATAGTAGTCATAGTCCAATTTTTATTTCACAAGAAGTATCGATCACCTGAAGATCAATCGATTATATTAAAGGAAAGCGCGCACGCGTGAGATTGAAGAAATTTTCTTTTTACACGAAATATCGTTGTTATCGATGTATCGTTAAAACTGCCCATACACGCAAGGTTCAGCCACATAAATATATACAAAATTCACACACCGATTTGCTTATCCATAAATGACCTTTGGGAGGGATGAGACGAGGGGGTTGGAGATTGGGAGAGTGAACGATTGCAAGTCTAGCGAAGACGAGAGAGTTAAGATTTATTGTGTCTCGTTAATAAGCGTAAAAGCGATCCGCGCAAAATACGGATCGCGGTGATTGAGAGTGGCACTTTTTTCTTGCCTCAGTGATAGATCCGAGCTTTTGTGCGATTAAAAAAGCTTATTCGAAGCGTCGGCTTGCAATATTATGTACGTAGTGCGTATTGCCACTGAAATCTATCGTTGTCGTAATCTTATTGAAGATTAACTTACTCGTCGGAAAAATCAGATCTACTTCAAAAGCCTGATTAATAAAATTCTCAATGGATTGTAAATCTGTAGACTGAGCTAAAGCAGAACGATCATCATTTGATAGAGTACTTGATAGAAAGATTAAATTCTCGGAAAAATCGCAATCAGCAAACACCTATCGCTGCTAATAGACAGTAATCGATTAATCCCGATTGTTCGCGTTAATTGTTCTTCCCTGAGGATTGTTACTTCGAAATACGTGCGTTATCGATTTGTTAATCATATATCTGCTATTTCACCGCAAGGAGAAGCGGCGAATAAGCTATATAGATATAGAGAAAGAGAGAAAGAGAGAGAAAGAGATATAGAGAAACCACTGATACTAGCAACCGATTTCAAGATCTTGTAGAACAGTACGTGATCTAAAGAAGGACGATTCGCTCGTAAGAAGAGTGCATTACAGAAGAAGGATTTACAAAATATTCGAGAGCACTTTATAACAATCGGACGTTTTTTCTTTCGCCTTCGATTAATCGCCGAGAGACAATCTCGACCAGTGATGGGCAAAGTACTATTTCTATCCTCAAATATTAGAGGTAGCTCGCTTCATATTTATCAATCTATCACACTATTCTGTAAAAAATCTTGGGGATACTTCGAAAAAATAGTGAGCTTTTATATTCTTTTCTTATTCTCGAAAACATGAAAAAGCGCCTTTAACAAATTTCTTGAAATGATCAATACGTTAAGAACTATATGTTTTGCCGAAGTCAACGAATCTTTCTTGTAAATTAAGAGATGAGAATTACAGGAACTGTAGACCTTTATATATTCAACTGAGAGAATCCGTATCCACCCTTAAACAGCTTTTATTCCGATATAATAACTCTGTAATGTATTAGGCAATAATCGAATGATTATTTATATGTTTCTCGGGCAAGCGTGCAGAAAATTGTGAGAAATATTTAGGAGATATACATATATATTCATCTCTTTTGGAACGTCCCCTAGTATTTTACTTTAGTATTTTACTCATCCCTGGCGTAAAGGTGCGTTTAAACGACAATTTGCACACACTCTCTTCCATCCTATTTGCCCTGAAGATCTGTCTTTTCTCAGTAGTACTTTTTTACGCTTTCCGTAATTGAAATGGAAAGTACAGGCGTAAAAAAATCGAAAAGAACAGGATCTTCCATGTATGTGTCACGAACGCTCAAAAGTCGGGCGGTGCAACACTTCGGGAATTAAATGCGTTGCCACGTTTGAGATTAGCTTGAATGTTAAGCTCCATTTATCATTTATTGCTTCTTTATTTGCGACAAAAATGTCACCTTATGGCTTGTTATTACACTTATTACTATTAACCATGTTAATTGCCAGCCGCGTTAATAGAAATCAATTTTACCTCGAAACAATTAAGTACATATAGTAATTACGAGAAAATAAAAATAAACGCGAATTTTTTTCTAAGACAGCTATTGCTGTGAATTTATATAATTTAAATAGAAATTAGATTAAAAAAGATTAAATTAATAAAGAACTAATTAATTTTTTCTTTTAAAGTTTTTTTTTAGTTTCTTTTAATAACTCGGTAACAATATATTAATTGTGTAGTAAAAATGAAAGTATCTAAAAATTATAAATTAATAATATCGTAAACTATCTCACCTTTTGGAAATATGCGTTATTAATATCTCATTTTCTGTTGAATTATAAGTTATTTTTCTGTTTTCTGTGAACTAAGTATTATTTTCACTGTGTTAGAGTAAAGAGTGTCAATGTCAATTGATCTACGTTAATAATAATAATAATTACATCTCAGTTAATATAAGAGCAACATATTTCTTTTATAAATCATTTTTTAAACATTGCTACTAATATAATTGATTGACTATAATACAACCTAATATGGGAGGATAATAAATTGTCTTTCGGTCCTTAACTTATCTTGTTTGATCTTAGCTTCACAGAATAGGTTTTAAAAAATCTTTATTATCGCCAACTACGTCAACGATTAACCTTGTTAATAGTAATACTAAGTCAACAACATACACAGCTATATATACAGGATGCATCAAAGTACCGCTGGTTCTCGTTTATAAATTCTCGTATCAATTTGGAATCTTGGCATCTTTGTTAATAGAGATAACGTGACATTATAATGTTTTTCGAGAGATTTATTGAAGAGTTTATAGCCGAGAAGAAACAACGCGCGATACCTAGGTCGACCTGTATAAAAACGAGCGTATCGTGAATTTCAGTTAGGAGGAGACGATGCAATTTCATAGAAACGACTCGGTGCACTTGCGACGCGCCGTGCAATCACGCTCGATGCCACTATACGACTCGATCAAATATCATCTAACTCGCACTGGCAATAATGCATTCACACACCCTGTATTTATGTATAAGCATATTTGCGTATATGCTATATAAATCATCCATTCATCAAGTTTATCCTTCCTCTCGGATTACTTACAGATACTTTCCATATGTATAAGAACCACTTACATACAATCTCGCGTGAAACAGAATTCGAGTATGTAATTTACATGAATGAGAAATATCGTGAGCATGTTAATTCGCACTTAACAATAAGTAAACTACATTAAAATTTGCATTAAATATTGTCACTAAAGTAACTAATTTTAACTTTGTATGTTGAGTAACATCTAACACTTCCAAAATGTAATCACATCTATTTATAAAAATTGTTATTTGAAACAAACTTCGTAATATCTATTTTTTGTAAAATTAATAAAAACTTTGCAAGTGATAAATCCTATTTTTTTAATGAAATTATTTCTTGAAAGTATATTTTGCAATTTTATATATTTTTAAATTGAAAGTATGCAAAGATTATGATCAATAAAATCAATATTTTTCATTTGTAAACAATAAACATAAAGAATAAAAATATTCTCTATAAATTTATTTAACATTCCTCATTAAATTATTTCACACTCGAATCTTTCGAGAATGGAACTCTTAGGTATATGTATGTGTCATGTATTTTTTGCTCAAAACAGACTTTAATAAAATCTATTTAATTAGTCAAACAATTTATACACGCATAACATAATCGATAAGTATGTGTGTGTCATATATATTATCTGTCGCTTTTCTATACAATAATGAATGTATGAATAGGATAGAATATACGATCACGATGCTTTCATTCCTAACATTTCACTTCCAACATCTATTCTTATAAACAGCACGTCGAGAGTAGAATAGAACCATTTAAAATTTGGCTATCACAAGATATTACGTGTATAAATAATGTTTGAAAATACCTTCACTATATATCAGAGAATTAACAAAATTTATTTAGAGATATCATATTTTATAATTTATCTCATAATTTATCATATTCATAGACATAAATATGTTTATTATACAAAAAGTTATAATTAAATAATATATTTTCTCTTAGATAAAATATATTTTTGTACTGAAATAAAAAATCTTATTTCTCGTGTACATATTTTTATATTTTAAATAAAACTGCACAAATATATTTTTTGTTAAATTAATAAATTAAATAAATAAACATTATAATTAAAAATTATTAATTTTTTTCATACCTATACAACATCAATAAAATTTTACAATAATAAACATTATGGTTAAATATTATGAAACATTTATACACAATTCTTTTAGTTTCTTACTTAAAATATCATTCCTTATTTAAAAGATCGTACAAATCACTCTCGAACATTTTATTATCTAGCTCTTACTGAATAGATAATTTAGCTATATATAAAGTAAAGATTGTACATAAATTCAAAATTAATATATTTTTCACACGTACTTGAGAATGGTCTAACGTCGCGTTCACGGAGAGGATGTTGGAAGTAAAATTCGTAAAACAATAAAAATAGCCTGCCTACGTCAGTGCAAGTTGCTTCCTAAGATTCGTCCGAATCAGTCACTGCTAATATCACCTTCAACATTTCCTTTCTTTTTAATTAATTCCTACGATTAATTTCACGATCTTTGCGTCCGTTTTTCCTCTTCGTTCCTCGTGGGGAAATCGTTCTAAATTAATGCAGGAAAGCCTTAACTTTCCGTTTATCGACGAATCGATTCGCATTAACATTAATTATAGCAGAAAATCGAGCAGCACCAGCAAGCGTTATTTAAAAAACGTAACTTGAAAAAATTCGCGACAAATGAATAATAGGAAGAAAAATTCTTTTGGAATGTTTGTAATCGATGCTCGATTCCTGCCACATGTTTAAATTTTATCTCGAGATTTCGCGTCAAGGAAACAAGAGGATCAGCGCTAGATCGTTGATCAGTACCTCCCGACTCGTTGGCTCTCTTTGCGAGAGCGAGCAGTTCGACGGACCTTCCTAAGTGCGATCGATTTCATTTCAATTCGCCTTAGAATTAAAGAGAAGTTTCATATATTTCCACAATACCATCTCATCATGTTTTCCTCAAAGAGTTTTTCCATCTAGATATACGACTCATTAATCCCGATCTTAAAGTTCTTAGAAAATGTACTTTATCAAGGATAAGATCGCTGATCGTCTCTCATGCGTTTCGATCCTTTTCGCACAGAAGAGTGTAAAAGGATTTTTATTTAATCGCGACCTTTTATTACACCGCTTTTCCTGTAAGCTATCACGAGGATTTTCTAAACGTGCCCTTCTTCATCACTCGTAATGGAAAGATCGTTTTCGCACGCTCAACTATGTCGTATTCACCATTGATCAGAAGCACCCTCATAAATATCGCAACTCGAGCAAGTTATTGCAACTCGAGCAAGACTCTCTCAGCGAATACTCGATATTTTTCATATTATATTGAGATAGATCTTTGAAGTCTCAGTACTCGCATTGGAGCAGACAAGGCTCTTCTACGAGAATGCTCTGATCAGCGAGCACATTTTTTTTGTACACCTGTGTGAGACTCATGAGAGACTGTGTGTCCGTTTACTCTCCTCGGCCTCTTTCAATTCTCGATCCTTTCCAGCGACGAAAGATGACGTGCACGTTCTTTGGCCAAGTCCTTGGCCATACTCCCTGTACACAAATCTCAAGCACAAGGCAATGTTCTGCCCAATATGCGAATGCTCCCTTTACACGTACCACTCTTTAATGTCTATTAGTTCTCGTTTCTTGTTACTTTTGCTACCGTTGGCGCCGTTTTTTAGGGCGCCATTGAAGGGCTGTCCGGAGCCAGCGGCGCCTAACAGAGCCGCGTTTGGATCCTGGCAGAACGTCTTCGTTTCATCCACCTTGTAACTCGTTTCCGGCCGATTCTTAAACTTGAGGATTATCAATATGATCAAGACTATCGCTATCAACGCGGCGGCTATAATGCCAATTATAAGCGCAGCGTTCTCTGCCGCCTCGGATGTGATCCGTTTATTGTTGTTGTTCTTGGGCGGAGTGGGCATCGGCGGGTACACCGGCGGTGGAGGTGGCGGTGGTGGCTCCGTCATTTCCGTCGTGGTCGTCTGCGTTGTCACGGTTGTCGATCGATGCGTTACGACGCTGCTGCAAAGCGTAAGCGACGATTGTTAAATTTTAATTATTATTCAACATTAATTATTTACGAATGAATTGTAGTTTTCGCGAATTTTGCGACTTTTTACCGTGAATGAAGGATGATTACAGCACGTGATATATATTTGTTAGTAACATTTTTCTCGTTTAAACGCGTAGAAGTCTGAATTTTTACAAGCAAATTACTCAATTAAATTTAATTACTCGATTAAATTAAATTGTTGCAAAAATACGGATTGAAAATTGTGAAAATGTAACAGTTCCGAATTTTAAATTGAGATGCGTATTGATTTTTATACTATATATATATATGTATATATAAAAGAGAGACAAATTGACTCTAATTAAGCTATACCTCGTTAATGACGCCTGCAATATTGAAAGACTTTTCTAATATTCGGTGCAAGAGGAAAGCTTCTAAACTATTCCATGAATTCAGTAAATACGTGTCATTAATTGATCAGGAAATAATTTATACCGTACGTTCTATGTATTAACGTGATTGCAGTAGAGAATGAACATTATAGCGATTCTGAGAACGCGAAAAATGTACAGTAATCATCTCTCGTAATGATTAATGCATAAACGATTGCGAATGATTATCTGATTATTCGGCGTCACCGCTGACGCACGCACCTGCTATGGCTGATCTCGAGGTCTGTGGTTGACACGTTGTATTGGACGGAGACGGTGACGATGTCGCGACCCAATGTTGTCGACGACGGCGACGTCGTCTGGGTGCTGATATGGCTTGTCGAGTACTCAAAATGTTCATTAGAAGGCTGCTTCGCCTCGTTCTATCGCGCGGAGGGGATGATACGGGAGAAAGGTGGAAGAGGAGAAGGTGGAGGAAAAGCAGGGAGTAGGGTATGGAAGCGAAAGGGACGGGTTGCGAACAATATTTACGCGTGCGTAGGCCGGTAAATATTCACGCGTGCGTAAGCAGAAACGTTACGAGCCGAACGATCCCGAGAGCATCAGGAACGTATCACATAATACATATGTATGCATTCGAGAGAAATGTCCATAAAGTAACACGCCAACTTATATTTATCCAGTTAATTTTTGACCAAATTACTATTTTACATGCTGCAGACTATTTTACATGCTCACGTCTCGTGTTTATGCGCGTAATCACAAAAGTTTATGGATGTTGGACATTGGCCGAACTTTTAGAATGAAGTCCTTGAGCGAACATTCCAAGCAGGGGCAGTAATTAAGTCTCTCTCTCTCTCTCTCTCTAAAATTTTAATATACATGTATAGTACAGCTTTTTTGCTAGTATAAAACATTTCTTTTCATGGTCTTTTCTGAAACCTGAAGATAAGTCTATTATGAAATTGAAATGACTATTTTAATAAGTTGTCGCTTGTACCATATGTTTGTACTATACGTTTTACTATCTGCTGCCTGCAACGGAGAAGCTCCTTATAAACATTTTGCATTATTTTAGATATCAAAGACGTGAGGACTTCTTGGAATTTAAACATATTATTGTGAGGTTTTATGCTTGGACATCATTTTTAAGGGTTTAAACAAACACACAGACGCACTGTATTTAAGTAAACATTCTATTTTACGATTGCGCACTAAAATTCTAAATTATCCGGATAGACGTACGTACAAAAAATGTAATGAGGAATTTTCTATGAAAGCTTCACGTTATATACACGAGGGAATATTTCGAAGATGTTTTTATATAATTTTATACGTTCGCAAAATTAAGGACAGAGTATCCAGTTTGACGTTGTGACTCGACGGGGCAAATATTATTACTGAAAGGAATGTCGCCCCCGGCAATAGGGTGGTACTACTTTCATGGCAGGCGATGGTTGGTGCGCACGTCACAAAAAGTCATGAACATGAGGAAGACGCCCACATCGTATTTCCGTAACAGAGGATTCTTTATATATATATAAAGCCGATGACCGAGAACGATAAGATCGATCGATGCTCGTCCACGCGAGATTTTATATGGCGAGTTTTCTATAATTATATGTGTATATATAATATATACATTATATGTACAGGTCTCACAACTACCGCATTTCTTCTTAAGGACATATTCTTGAGGTAATTTTGAAACGAAAATCCTTATACGAAAATGTCGAGACTACAATAATTTTTTAAATTATAAGCTAACTATAAATGCCTATAAAAGTCAAAAACCATTTTACTTTTATAGCCTCTATTATTATTTCTGGATTCTTTTGAACATTCTAAGTCGAAAATCCTAATATGAAAATATCGAGGCTATAATAGTTTTCAAATTACACACTATCTTTAACTAATTATAATTCAAAAATTATTGTAGCCTCGACATTTTTGTATTAGGATTTTTGCTTCAAAATTACTCAAGAATACGTTTTTAAGAGGAAATGCGGTTGTGAGACACCCTGTATATATATTATATATAATATTAAGTTAGACATCTATATCATATAAATGATATTAATTTTTTAATATAAATTTAAAGAGAATCAGAAATTTTTTAGAATGCAATATTTGTAAAATTGCACTTTGCAGCTTTCTGCTGAAAGAAAGGTATTAAGAATTATTAGGCGAAACAATATTCTTGGAATACGGACCGGTGGCCGAAGTGACAAAAATTTCTTCTGTCGTTCTGGAATCACCGGAGCCTTCTTCGCAATCTTCCTCGTCGTCGCAAGTTGGACGCTCTTGAATATTTTCTTTATGCGGCTTTGGCCTCAATGTCGTCGGCAATCGTGTAGGCGCCACGTACACTGGCGTGATGATGTCATCTGAAAATAGAAGCGGCACAATTATTTAAACGAACGATATTGATTACATTAGGAGGTATGATCGAAATATATAATACAATAAGAGTAATTACATTCGCAATAAAATCTTGTATTTTGCACCATAAAAGTAATTGCAAATAATATTTCTTATGTGGTTTTATCAAAATTTTTATCGAATAATTGAAGGTAATATTTATTAACTGAAACTTGCACCATTTAAATATAAACCATTCAAAAATAAATTATAATGATGTTATAAAGTATAATTCAAAGTATAAACCCTTCCGAGAAATTCGGTGTAATTGGATCGCGCAGAAATTTCACGATATATATATCACGTCGTGTTACAGAGTGACCGGATATGACGTTTGGTCATCATCCGCAGTTATCGCGTCTCATTAACGTGACGATGTTAATTTAGTTTTTAGTTAGTCGGAGGAGATTTTGGAGCGGGACTTCAGTCCGTCGTAAGAGGTTTGCTGGAAGGAGAGAGGAGGAAGCTGTCAGGCTTTATCTCCGCCGGCCGGCGATCCTAAATATGTAAATGAATCGAAGATACAACCGGGCGAACATGAAGGCGAAAAGGTGGCCATGCCATGCGATACGTGCGATGCGTGTTGAGTGTGTATGTGATGCGTGAGCGTATAACGGGGACGCCCTTCCTTTCGTGTGACGCGATGCGTGCTGAGAGAGAAGTCAATATCAATGATAGCCTAAGAACAATTTTGCATACAGAAGCTAATCGATAAAGAACATTCTAATTTTAATTAACTGCTTCAAATTAACTTTTAATTAACTGCTTCTTTCTACATTTTATAGGAAAAATTATATATCGTTAAAAAGTTAATTTTATTAATTTTTTAAAATATAAAAAACTGCACTTTTTGAAATTAAAACGATTTAAAAACATTTTCTAGTTAATTACGATTTATTTAATGGCTGAATAAACACGGTCTGTTTAATGAAAAATTGTACAATTTTTTATAAATCGTTTAATTTGTATTAATAATTATGTTTTTGTTTCGTATGAAAGTGACAATTTTTTAATTATCATTTCCTCTTATTTGTTATAATATGATTGGAAATATTATATTTTATAGGGATATCTTAGATATAAACTTTTCTCGAATATATCTAGTATATAGAAAAAATAAAGAAATATATATCTAAATTTTTAAACAATTTTTGTAGCTATATATTTCATTGTTGTAATTAATAATGTCTACGTTGGACCATCGAAGATTTGATCAATTTGTTTTTAAAGAATTAAAATTAATTAAAAGATTATAGAATCAAAATTTTCTTTCGTGATAAAAACAAATTCTGCTGACATTACTAATAATAATAAACAAAAAAAAATGTTGGTAAGTGCCGTCAAAGACGACAGTGCCTACCATTATATGTATTGTCCATCCTTGTCTAGGGGAGTGCTAAACGTCTCTCCTTTCATACAACACAGTGGAGGGGCGATACTCATCTCTTATATACGGAGTAACTGGTTCACGAGCGCTTTCGAGAAAGCAGGTTTTTTGCAAATAACTCCTAATCTAACAATCCTTTTGCAAAACCGTAAAGGAAAATTTTGTTGCAAATATCACAAAGTACCCTGCTGTATAAATTTTATCTATATACAAATGAATTCAACATATAGCCTATATTTATATATTATATATATATAAATTTAGTAAATACATTTTATCATAACACGTTATAATAAAAATCATATTATTTTCGTTGTAATTTTTAGAATTCAATCTTTATTTTTTTTCATGTTAGATCTATTTCTTAGGAAAACATCGAAACATAATGTTTACGTATATACATATAAAGATACAATATCAAATTCTTACGAAATTAAAGTTGCAGTAGTAACTTAAAGTAAAATATACGTATATATTTTCAGAATTTTCAATTACAATTAAATACAACTGAAAATTACTACAAATTGTTTTCAATTAATTCGCGTAATATATAATGATAAAAACATGCGGTATATTTCAAATGAAATTTAAAGAGAGAAAGTATCTTTTCAGAATTATATTGAAACAAATTACGTTTAAAATATTATTTTGCGTGATAAATATACGAAAAAAGTGTAATGACATTAAAATGAGATGCCATCGAGACAAAATTACGCAACAAGATACGCGCACGTAGAGAAGACTCCCTCGTGGCGAAAACGTGCAGAATAGATTACTTACTCCTTCGAAAATATTACTTACACTTACCGGAGCCTGACTCGTAGATCGGAGTGCACTCCTCGTCCTCGTCATCGCCAGCGCAACCACTTCCGGCGCCGGAGAATATGAGGTCGTCCATGACGCCGGGAAACCCGGACGCCGGCGTCTAACAAAGCGGATTTTAATTATTAAAAATTGAGCAATTATCTTGGGAATTACTCGAGATTAACTTCAATTGACATTATTACGTACCTGTTGCATTCTTTGTAACGGCGGGGCGCGATCCAGGAGACTTCCTGCTGGCAGAAGCTGCACATCTCCTCTACTTGCAACTTTACCGTCTTTGGCAGCCGCCAGTTCTAAAATTCTGGCACCATTGACAACCAATCCGGCTATCACGCCGAGGAAGGGTCGTTCCACTCGGCCCTTGCTGCGATTCCATCGGCCTCCTACCTGAATAGTAGACTGGCTGTTGAACACTGTCAGCTGATGACCTGTCGAGAGAAATACACAACCATAGAAAAGCTTATTTTCATCTTTCCTTGCGTTATTGATCGACTTATAATCATCAATTTTGTTTATTGATATTGAAATCTTTCTGGAATGTATATTACTTATGAATAACTTTTAACGTTATCGCTACAAAATAATATCTAGCAAATACAATTTTTACATTATCATTAGGTTAAAGTAAGAGAAGCTTTCGTACAAAGTAGACGAAGTTAATAATAATGAGCAAAATGAAGGAATCTAATGAATTTTTTGACGAAATATCTTTTATGTAAACCGAACGACTCTCGTGAATGTTTATGTTAAGCAAATTTTGACTTTGTTCGTTTTAGTTTTATAAACTGATTCAATTTAGATCTTCATTACGAATTTTACTTTGTACTTGTAGTATTGAAATATGTTAAAACATACATGAGTTGTCATATAATATGCAGATTATATTCGTAAAGATTTTGTTGTCACAGCAATCGCGTAGTTATCGACTGTGGATTGATCAGCACTAACAGTTATAGTTATGTAAACATTTCCCATTTGAATTCTCTGTCTATTTTTCGGTTCGTGCACATCGTACGATCAGTAATAACAATCACGGCATGCATGGTCAAGTTTGAATGCAAAGGAAAAGTGGGAAACCTCCTTCCACCCTATTTCAAAAATTTTATTTTTAGAATAGATTATATAGGCCGAACCCGAAGTACTGCAAGACCGGGTCGACCTGCAGTGGGGACGGAGCAAGCTCCATACACCCACCCTGTTCCAAAAATGAGGTTAATATTCTGAATCCCCTATAGGGATTGTATCAGATATTAAGCTGATAAGAACAGATACTACACATTTGATCTTAGCTCAGAGAGCCGAGAAGCGATAGAGGCATTTGATTTCACAGGCTTTATATACAGTTTGGAGATGAAATTTAAATACGAGAAAGTATTGCCGGGAAGTAGCCGCGTAGTGGCGAACGAAGTAACTATGACGGGCGTCCGGGCGGTCGATACCGGCGTGACCGGCGCGGCGCAGCGCTTGTTCTTCCCCCTCCACAACCACCATCAATTTCCTCCTTATTAATTAAAACATGTGACGTTCTTTACAGGATAATCTAAATAATTATTTTTTAATAACAATTATACTGGTTATCGTTATTCTCATACGTACACTACCGTTTATAAATTCGGAAACATTTGCAATTTTCTCGCGTCTCGCAAAAACTTATAAGTACTTTGTTGAAAAGAGAATAGAAGAGTTTTTATTAATAATGCATTTTTTGAAAAGAGCTGTAAATTTGTTTTTTTTTTAATTTTGTTTTTGTGATATTTTGTTCCTAAATTACATAAAATTGAAAATTTGTCAATTTTCACTGTTTTCGTTTCTAATGTTTTTATTTTATTTTGAAGCGCTGTAACTTGATAAAATATCCGTTAAAAATTAATAAAATGTATTTTAAAGCTAAAATGAATTTTTAAGCTTCAAAATATGATTTAAAAACCATTGATATGATGATTTTTCACAATGATATTAAATTTGTTGTGTAAAAATTTATTTCTACAAAATATTTTTTAACATCGAAATTAAAAAGTATTTATAGACAAGAAATAGAAATTAAAGAATTTTTGTAGACAAAAAATAAAATTAAAAAAATTTTTGTTGTAATATTCTCGATTCGTATAGATGTTTAAAAAAATTTTTGAAGTTTTATCTTAACTTTGTGTTTAATACAAGAAAATCACCAGTGTTCTCGAATTTATAAACAATAGTACAACAAGTAATTTTTCTCTTATAATATAACTAATAATATGCTTCAAATTTGCTTAAAAAAAATAATATGCTTAAAAAAAATAAGTTTAACATTTTTCTAGCAGAAAAATTAGTATACTTTTATCTCCAATTGTGTAAACATACCTTTATATTAAACAGAAAATTATAATAATAAGTATTTTATAGTTTTTATATATCTAAAAACTTAACTTCAATTGTGCAAGTATTGTATTTACTGTTGCAAATTCTTTAATTACTACAAAGAAGAATAATTTCATTTGTTCACTTCCATACGTGTGTAAATATACACCATTTAATAATGGGTCCTAAAATTATCTACCATAATTTTGTAATTTTAAATGTAATTTTATTAGAATAGTAACTATGTAAAAATATCTATGTTCATCACTAGTTTTTTATACGTGTGATGCAAACATGTCTAATGACAGAAGAGTAACAGTTGATACTCACTGACCAGGCATAGTCAGTCCACTAGTGTGGCATAAAAATACAGCTGGTAGACCCGATGTGTAATCAGCTTTGTAAAATCGGGTTCTCTGTGTGAGCAGTGACATGCAAAGTGTCATGTGCATAAGACATGCGTCCCGAATTAATCGCTCGGACTCGTCCTTTCTTATTTTCTCTCTTTTCTTATTTTCTCTCTTTCTCTTTCTATCGAGGTAAGGTTGTCATTGACGCCGCATTCCAATCCGAAGAAGTCCAATAAACTGTATCACTTTACTAGGGAAGCATGAGCATGACGGGTGTGGTCGTGCTCCTGTCTGGCACCGGGAGTCGAATAGAGCGTGGAGCCAAATCTTTTGAAGCGGAGAAACCCGTAATCTTCACTATAAATCTATGAGATCCGTGAGATTAGCGACCACGGTGTAAAATCGAAATGAGAATAGCTATTTTCATATTTATTCCTCATATTAATTTCTTCGTGATATAATATAATGATACTAAAATAATGATACTAATATCTTATAAAGTTTTTGAGTGTAATGAAATATATTTTTAGCAAAGAATTGTGTTGTGAATTAAAACTGCCTGTGTATAAAGAATAAAGCTATAATTTTTTTTAAGTAAGGAGAACGATGAAACGTTTTAGAATTTGTTGCTGAGAATAAATTTCGATTTGTCATATATTTCAAAAAAGAACAAAAGTGTAGTTTTTCAAGTAATTAGCTCTTTCACGACATAATCTAAATTGATAAGTAAACTGACAGGGAAGTATGATGCACTGAGAGGTGCTATATCCGAAAGTGAATTGAGTAGTCATGCTTAGACAAGTAGCACATTCGGCTAAAGTGAATCAGGAGACGAGAATGTTCGATATTCGCATATTTACATATTTCGCATTTATATAGAGATTCGTTATTTTTATATTTTATAAATACGCTTAAATTTTATAAATTTTAATGTACGTTTTAAATTTTATAAATTTGTCCGTTTCCAAACGAATTCAAAATAATAAATCTAATAAGAAATATAGTAAAATGAAACTTTTTTATTGTTATCGACAGATGTTATATTTAATCTGAAGTGAGGAGGAAGATCACGTAATCGAGGCGTTGGAGTTAATCCTCGCAAAAATTAAAGGTTCCGAATTCACGACGGAGTCTCACGGATGCGCTTTGAGAACCGTCTGTTTTACGGTGAGAACGGAGAGTGCTGGGTATGGGAAACATCGATGCTTCCCAGGCGATGGTAGCGGCGTTTCGTATACGAACGTGAACAGCGAATGTAAACGCGCCGCGCACGTGCACGTACATTTCGTTCGTACACATCGGTCAGCTTGTCACTTGTCCGGTTGCGGTACGAGGCAAATGTGCACGCTTGGGAATTGCAGGCTCAATTCGACCGTGGGACGTCTGCGTCTTTATCGACAATGGGAGCGTCAATTCAAATCACTCGATCACTTCTATAATTACTAGGCACTTAAAAGGCCGATATTCATAGTCAGATCTTATATTTAAGACTGTCTTAAGTTCAGCCTTGAGGTGTCTCTGAACCAATCAGAGAGCCGTATTAGCGTCTTAAGACATTACATTAAAAGGGTCTTACAATAAGAACCGACTATAAATATCGGCCAAAAAGCGACAAATATTTAAGGATAAGAATCAGAAATACGGATCACGCAGTTAGTACAAATCAACCTGAGAGAGCTCTGTCAGACTGATGGATCCAAGATTTGCATTAATCAGAGGGAAGATTCCGTTCGATCGCCTTCGACCGATAGCATGTTATCATTGCATCAGAATTAATTACTGCCGAGCCATTAATCTTCACATCTTCACGTGCGAGCTGACGATGATTAATGAGTCAAGAAAACGAGTTTTTCGTATATTTGCAGCTAGCCTGAAGCTAACTCGTTAATTACAGATTTTAAGATTTTCTTAAATTATTCTAGTTTTAGATATGTGTATTTACCCGATAATTCTTTATGGAAAGACATACGTGATAAAGAAAAAGTTCGTGATAAATTAGATTAAAACCTTTTTTTCTATTAATGTACTGTTCCTGTTAATGTACAATTTATAAGTAAACATTTGTTCAAATAAACTTTACAATTAGCTAAATTTCACGTATTTATACAGAAAAAACGATTTTGCTAAAATATTTAAAAATTTAGTTATAGATGCAGATTTAAAAATAGTTTGTCGGACCATCAAAATAAGTATGTAGAACACTTGAAAGTTACTTGAAGAGAGAGAGAGAGAGAGAGAGAGAGAGAGAGAGAGAGAGAGAGAGAGGAGAGAGAGAGAGAGGTTTTAATATTCTAGCAATCAATTTAAGTGTCCTATAATATAATTATTTGGTTTAAAATTATTTTTAGACCTGTGTATCTAGTTAAATCTTTAAATACTTCAAAATCATTTTTTCCATGTATAATTCAAAGTTTATCCCAAACAGAATAAGAAATCGAGGGTGTCTTTTATTATCTGTTTATTTTAAACTTATCGAGTTTATTTTAAACTCTCGCGAATCTTCAGGTTTTTCCTGTATAAAATCTTTCTTCTTTGATACTTTGGTTGCCTCGGTCTCCAAGCAATAAGAGCAATACACAAAGAGACGCCGCGGGAATCGGCACGCTCGACCAGTCTCTGAATCTTGCCTGGTAGGTTTAGAACGACCTTCAGATTCCAAGGCTGTTCCTAGCGCACGAGCGCAGCTTAGGTCGACTACCATCTCGCTATGCTTGCCTGGTTCTTCTAAGCACTTAACTTAG